GATTATCCCATATAGGAAATAAAAAATAAACAAATTAAACCAACTGAACAATATAAGCAGCCATTGTCGAAAAAAATAAAATAAAAATTGCAGATGCAAAAAAGAAAGAGCAATATGTAAACAAAGAATACCGATATTAAATATGCGACCCTCCAATGAGTGTGAAACGCCAGTATATAACTTAAGACATGGATATATGCGGAAATTATCCACATAATATTTCAATTTAATTAATTAATAAACAACAGCAATGAATATTTATAAATATCTTACATTTTAATTTTTTCTTAAAGTACTATCCATTCATGGTAATTTTTCTTCAGGTTCGATTACAAAAGTACTTGTGTTACTGTCAGATACAACAACAAACTTGGTATCTTTCGTTTTTTTCTAAATATTATTTAATATATAGGTAGTATATTATATTGTATAGTACTTATATGGCTATATATTTAATGTATAAATAAAATACAATAATATAAGTTATAACTATTGGACTGCACTAGAAGCCCGGTGGTAATTGGTAAAAGCCGCTTCCCGGACATTTGATCTTACTTGGGCCTGCGATCGCCATTCTGGATCATTATTTATCACCTTTCACTCTTCTTCGTTCACAGTTTATCACATCTTTGCATATATTTCGGTTACAAGAAACGAAATAGAAAACAACGATTTTGTACCTATGTTAATCCTTGTGCAATCCTTATTTGGGCTTATTGTCTTTAATGCATTAAACGACAAGACTAGCCGATGAGAACTAAAACGTGATCTATGTTTTAATGTCTACTGTACACGTTGACGATTACGTTACATAAACTATATACAATGATTCCGTTTCCGTATTAGCCATTTATTTGCAGGCTAAACCTCTTATCTCACAATCGTTAATTTTCAAGCAAGGTTAGACGTTAATAAATGCGGATATTATGCCATTTTCGTGAACTTGTGTTAAAATGCATTGGCGCGAAGCAAAGTAACAAAAAAAAAAAATCGTTGAACGCTCACGACTGTGTGCACTCACAAAGAACGTTGCTATTTTCCCTCATTAGCAATGGGCTGTGTACTTTAATGGCTATATTTTTAATCTGTAGTCTTAATATTAAAAACAAATATTATGTCGACACAAAGAGTTCGCCTGCCTAAAAGTAGTCTCTACACTAATATAGCGCGCGTGTATGTAAGTTGCCGATGATAACGCCTTAAGGTCACAACTATACGGCGTTATTTCCGCCTATTTACTAAGAAGCTTTTAAGTAGGTAATAGGCATAGAAAATGTTTTGCAAAATCATAATTTAAATATATAAGATTTAGATTGATATTAGATATGTTAAAAATATGTATTTTCTTCTCATATAGAACAGCGGTAACTTTTTCCAAAGAAATATTTGGGGAAAAGAATATTGTCGTTGTCTTCAAAATGTTGTTTTCTTTCATTTTTATCATAGATGTTTAAAACCATTATGGTCCGAGAAAGGGGATGTGTGTGGGGCATGTGTTGTATTCACAACGTTCAAACCAGAACTGAACTGAAATGAATTTAAGAGGTCATATTTTTACGAATTCTTTTAAGCCAGATATTAAACACTAAATTATTAGCCACAAACTTGTATATGTTTTAATATACTAGCCACCTTAGATACTAGCTTGTTACTGCTTGTTAATATACCATATCATTATCTATAATTCAAACACTATAAATGTATTCGGTACTTTAACGAGACATGAAAATGCTCTTTCGTGGTTGCAGGATCGGCTGAAAAAGGTTTGTTTTATTTGTTCCAGAGCGCAATTTTTATCAAAAACAAGGGTTCTATGTTAAATGATTCCTACTGCGCACTGAGAGTAATGAGATGTATTAATAGATATAAAATAATATGATAATAAAGAAACGAAAATAACGTACTAATATTGTTTTTTCGTGGCCTTGGTTTTATAATATCTGATTAATAATTAAGTCTGGCCTATCATCAAATCATTGATACCCAATGGGTATCGTCCATTTTCCATAGATCTAAACAATGTATTACGTTCATTGTAACAGAACATTTTGTGGAGTTATTCCATTATAAACATTTTCTATTTATAATATAATATGAACTAGACAAAGAAAATATACTTAATAAAATAATATGCAAAATCATCATATGGTTAACTGTGAATCAAACTATCTACTGTGTATTCGATGTACATAAATTCAAATTCAACCATACATGGTACTGGTAAGTACAAGTATTAAACTTGTTATAAGTCATGTGTAACTGGTATGTACATATTATTATTTCTTATGACACTACTCTACAGCTGATACATTGGTCGATGGTGATATTATAATCTATAGGAAAGCTACAACTACTTGAAAGTTAGTGATTATATTGAAATCTCACTCAATTAGAAAGTAGGTATACCTAAGTATAATTGTGTTCTACAGCTGGTTAAATAGTTTAAAATATTATTATAAATGTAAAGCTTCAACTTCTACGAATATGTTTATCGGATTAGAAAGTGATGACCATACAAATATTGATATTAAAACAAATTAAACTAAATTAGGAAAAAGTTTATATTTTAAACTTACTACTGTACACTCACTTTTGTAATTTGTATTTTTCAATAATTAAACGATTTCTATTTATGGCGATAAGAAAATATATTTATTATAATCAATTACCTTTTAATAGCTACTTACTTGTTTATTGCTAATTTAAATAAATTGTATTTTATAGTATTACAGTTTAAGGATAAGAAAAATAACTCATAAATTATGTTTACTATGAAAATATAATTATGCCTGTGGTTTAGGGTCCCAGGCTTGCCTTTTCATCCGGGAAAACGTCCTTGTGTCTTCTGACTTTGAAATTTAGTAGAATAACAGTTATAACAGGCTATGAACATTGAGAAGCATTAATTGGATGCAAAGAAATAATACAGATTGCTTATTACAATCTGTTACTAGTAATAAAGCTACGAGACTTAAACGACATGACTTTAATATTTTGGTCTTACAATCGGACATTGTTATTATTAAAAGAATATTGAAACTGAAACTTTAAAATGCGAAAACTACTAAAATAATAAATATGCGAGTTGACATTTAAGAATAAACAAATTAAAAATGGATTATTCGTGTGACTCATAAATAAACTACCTACTATTAAAATGAAATGTGTGTAATAAGTTTACTTGATTATAATTGTAATTTTTTCTATAGAAATGATCACTGGGAAATAATCACAATATTATTAATACTTCACATTTCTGTTAACTCCTTAATACATTGAAAATCTGATTTAACGGTGTACATTCTATTATAATATTACAGGAAGAATCGTCCAAACGTCATAAATTCTACGATCTTCTGAAAAAATACATATCAGTAACATGATTTAAAGCTAGCGGATTAAAATACTAATGTGTTGATAATAGAACGTTTTAAAAACGGAATTGTACTTAAATTAAACATATTCACTTTTTTATTTTTAACTAAATTAGGCCACGGATCAATAACATATGCCTAGGAGAAGGTAAAACGATTTTCAAAGATTTGAAAACGTCGTGCAAGCAAGTTTTCTAGTGTTATGAAACAGTAAACTAGTATTAGCAAGAGTGTTCATTTCTTAAAAACAATATGAAACGTTATCCTAGTTCACATAGCGTTACTGAAATCCTATAATACAGGTGGGTATTACTCATAACGGTACTAATGTACAGTTTGTATAATATGTATTTTTCATTGACATTTTTATCTAAACTAGCAAACTAGTGAAAACAATGTAGTAATATAAACGTTCAACGGAGATAAGAATATGGTAATATTAATAATATGTCATCATGGTGGTAATCTGTTACTATATGACAATTATTCATCTTATCTGCGCATTGACTCGTCAACATTATAGTCGTGAATCTATGAACTAATATTATTTAAAAAATCTATATTTAAAACGTGCAAATGAGACGGTATTTTAAATCAAGTAAATCATTCCACACCTAAGTTTGAAGAAGTTTTCCTTAGAACACGGAAAATTCATCAATATTATCATATCAGTTGACTGAACACTGTTAGTTTATCGAATGCTTTGTATCATACCAGAGATAACGAATCATTTTAAATACTATTTACAATGTCTTTAACAGACTAATATTTCCTTTTTTTTTTATTTGGATTGATATTAAGACTGCGCAGTCGTTGAAGTTTATTGACATTATACACACTTGGCGTTTGATATTTATATTTATCTCAAGTGATTATCAGTCGGTGTCAAATACCTGCTAAATAAACGTTTCATTCTGACAGTAAAAAAAAACTTTCGCCATACACCAGAACGCTGTTCTTTTTTAGATGTGTGGGCTTAATAAAGCGTTTGGGCGTTTTGTATACGACACATTGTTGTAGAGCACAATATGGCGGTTAGAAAATAATATGGGCGTTATCCGAAAGAGAACACTTTTGCCCAGATCTTAGTCCAAAAGAGCACAAGTTGGTAATGTGAAAATATCATTAAAATAGCGCTTAAAAAAGAAATGTACACAACGTAATATGAATGTTGTGTGTGTACTTAAGACTTTGAACACGGAATAGACCAAAGCAAAAGTGTCACTTTCAATGTAAACAAAAAAGTGACGGATATTTAGTTAAGTCTATTTAGTATTATAATATGTTGTGCTTTTTACACTACTAAAAATAACAACATCATAGCGGTTGGCCATAAGAAGATGGCCGCCGCGTTTTTGTGTGATAACTGTCAAGTATCTTGCCCGTGATTGTTGTTATCAGTGTCCAGGGCCTGTCTTAGACCTTTTACTCTACTTAACCTTTTATTCAGTATAATGTCTAAGTTTGGATATTATGTGTACCGTTAACCGTTTTGATAAACGGATATGATATTAAATTTGCCGGTAACCGCCGAGTGTGCAGCTCTTGTGGGCGCTACTTAATTTCAGGTCTAATCGAAACGAAACTGCGCTGTTATCAAAAATCCTATGATTCACAATCCTTTACCTTCTTCTGATATCGATCCTAAGTGGTATCCTTCGGTCGAGCTGAAAAGTCTTCCAGGGCGACTACGGTCATAATACCAACGACAACAGCAATAAAATGATATTATTGTTTTTTTTTTAAAATAGGTACACTCAAATCCGACGGCACCCGTCACTCGTCACGTTAAAAAACTCGACGTGGCTTTTTTTTTCTCAATAATAACCGTTGATTACATTAATTATGGTCGCACTTAAAAAACAATATAATAATTATAATATAATATAAACGGCCGTATATTGGCCGTACTCAAGGGGGAAACTGTCGGCGCTACTGCGGATGACGAACGCGCCCTTGACGACGGTGTTGGTCCGGGACTACCCGGGGAGGCTTTGTGGACGCGGCCGAGAAAATATTTCATCCTTTCCCCTCGTCGTCCCCACCCCACCCCACCCGTCGCCCTCTACTCTCCGGCGGCACAGCCGCTGCGCTCCGAGTGGACGAAGAACAACCTTGAGCGGCCGGTGCCGCCGCTGTGCTCGCTCGCCGACCGGTTCTGGTCTCTGCGCGGCACTGTCGACGGATCATCTTGGATCTGCGGTCGTCGACCGAACCCGTTTCGGGAGACTGCTGTTGCCGCCGCCGACGCCGCAACTATGGGAAAGGGGGGGGGGCGGCGGCGGTGGCCACGTCACGGTAGTGGCACGTCCGCTCTGTGCTCGGCTCGGCGTGTCTGTACCACGAGAATATCATACATACACGGTGAATATAACCAGATGGGAAACTTTGAAAAAAATAATAAAAGGCCGACTGCCATATTGGATTAATTAAATACAAATAGATAGCCCGCGCCGTGTTTAAAGTCGGCCGATCATAAACGGGAGCCAGAAATTCAGTATAAATTTATTCCATCGAAAAGGGTGCTCTGACACACAATTCGGCTCAAACCTGGGCGGCCAGATAATAATATATTGACCTATGTACGCAAGTCGCAACTACTGTATGAACAAAAAACGCTTAATTAAATAAAAAAAAAAAGCAAAAAATCATTTTTTAAATATATATTTCAAGTTAGTACAAATATTAATAAAATTATTCAAAGTTATGACAAAACAACAATAATAGTTCACATTTATAATATTTAGATTTGTAGACGAGAGAAAATGAAATATAAAAATAAAGATAGTAGGGTGAGAATCAGATCACAGAGCACACAGAAGTAGACAATTATATTAGAAAGTAAATTGAATGAGCTTAGCCTAGCCCTTACCTCGTGATTGCACCACCCCCAATAGCAATTGTACAAGTGTACTTAATTACTAGTTATAAATAAGGCAATTTTAATTCAAGTCTTACATTTATTGTGATCAAATCATAAAATTATAAAAAAAATAATATTGTTTAAATATTTACAGAACAAAATAAGCAAAATAATAACAATAAAACAAATAATACTCCCAACATTCAACAAACACCATAAACAAAAAAATAAAACCAAAGAACAGTCAAGAAAATCCAATATACATAAATTTACCTTTTATAACAAATACCATAATTTATTATTTTCCCTTAAATAACCTATATCAGTCTAGAACCTAGATTTCAAACACAATTATTATTACATAACTTCAATTTTATTATCGATTTTTTTTTTTTTTATACAAAATTACTATATATTTTTTCGTTATGTACAGTAAATCTATGCTATTTACCAGTAACTATTTTTTATAGAATGATTAAACGATATATTACTGTTTTTATTACCAGCAAACGCAACAAAATTCTGAATAATCTATAATGATGAATAATAAATTAAATAATTTTTAGCTTCGATACAGAGCTGAAAAGGTTTTGTTTTTTCAATGATGCGTTTTTCTTTTTTGTGTCTGGACCCACAATATATTCTAAACTGCTAAACCGATTTCAACCGCTGAACTTAACCGAACTTAACCAACTTAACCGCTGAACCACGGGTCTTAGTGGTAAAAGTTGAGATGACTCAATTTATCGTTATACAATACTAAATGTGAGAACAATCAACAATTTTTCGTTATAGTTTTATACTTTTCATCAACTTACCAATAATTTTTATAATACTTAAAACTTAGTACTAGACAATGGACAGTATTAACATAATACTGAATGGTAAATGAGAGTATATACACCGTATTAAACTTTGGGTGTCCACCCCCCGGTTATAACAAAATATATGTTTTATATAATATAATAATATATATTAATAGTATAATATCTTACTCTTACCACTGGAGTTTGTAAATTATAATAATAAAAATTGGTTTTAAACAATTATACGAGCTTGTTATTATTATTAAATTTTACATAATGACAAATTAGTGCTTAAAATTGTTTTTAAATATTTTTAGGGTAGATACGATGAGGGTTGATTGTCTGCACACTGACTGTTGATTTACTCTTTTTGGATATTTCCTTTAGAAAAAAAAAAGTTTGCCGACAGATTTTTGAGAAAACTGTATATGTTATAGTTCCATTCTAGATCTACCTTCAGTCCAATTTTCAGACCTAAATACCTAAAAGTTTGCTTGAAAAGTAAAACAACAAAACCATTTTTATCCCTTTGACCTTTCAAGTTCTTTGGAAAAGGATTTATGATGTTCTATGTTCATAGGTATAAGAATGAAGACGTCTTAAGAATATTCTATACAAATTTGGAATTAATTCAATAATTAAAAAAAAAGTTATAAAGCGCCTTATTGAAGTCGAAAAATATGTACATTTTTAGGGTGTTTTTTGTCGATTTTAAAGGGGAAGGGGTGAACTTTTTTAAATTTTTGTCCCAATAAAGTACCTTTTCAGGTACGATTACTAATATATAGAGTTGCTACACGAATAAATCAGCTGAGTAGCACAAAAGTAAAAACACATTATTGGAAAAACAATACCTTCTCAGCTCCGCATCGAAGATAAAAATACTATGGGATATATTATCACACTGGTGTTGTGTCGATGAAGTTATACAATAGCGTTCGATTTAAATATACTCATTTAAACATGTTTCGACACCGGACCTCGTGGCGCAACGGTAGCGCGTCTGACTCCAGATCAGAAGGTTGCGTGTTCAAATCACGTCGAGGTCAGTTCTTTTTGCAAAATTCAAACAGATTTTTTATGAAATATTTTCAACTTTTTTTCGGTATCAATTTATTTAATTGCGGTTTTTTTACGTTTTCCTGTGATTTTTAATGTATTTTTCGTTCAGTGGATATTATTTATTTTGAGCCGACTTCATACCGATTATGATTTATTATTACTACAATTATTAGTCTAACAACAGAACGGTGATGAGAACTAATTTTAGATTTGTGTATACTAGGCAAGCGTAGTTTCTCAAGAAAGCCGTTGAAGATTGATCGTAACTTGCAACACAAAAGCCTAGAATTTGCTTTATAACCAAAATACTCACGACATCTATGAGTTTCACACTGAGATGGCGACTGAATATTGTATACATACTGCCATCTATAGGTGGAAGATGGACCACACAAAAAGCTGTATTTCGATAAAAACGTTTTTATTTTCAATGAGTAATATACAGTATACTAATATAATATATTATAAGTGAAATAAATCATTACAGTATTTGGAGATACCAAATTTGATCTCAACTAGAAGCATACTTAAATTTTTTTTTTTAAGTTAGACTGATTAGTAAATAATCCATTATCGAATCTAGTCGTTGGTCAAAAAAGTAAAACTCCTATCAAAATGGATACTGACATTCTTCTGCAATAAAGTAACACAAGGTGTACATATATAAAGTTTTCAATACAAAATAAAGAAAGTTCGAGTATGAATGGACGTTTTTAAATATCCGTTCAAAACGTTCGTTTGTCAGTCATATTGAAAAAAAAAAAAATTATACACATTATAACTGTAGTCCAATTGATTTTAATTATAGATAATGCAAAATAAATCTCATTATAAGGTTGAGATAAAAATCTTAAAAAAGTATGACATATTTTTGGTTGTGATTTCTAACTTATTGCAGGGGCAGATGAAAAACTCAACCCAGTCCAAAATAAGGACCACCCTAATATATATCCCTAATATATCTTCTTATATTCATAACTAGTCATTAATTATTTTAGTTGAGATTATACATAGTATATTTTTTGCGGTAGCTTAACCGAATCGATTTCGTCAAAGGCTAAATAAAATATTTATAGTTTTCCAAGCACAAAATAGTGTAATAATTTTCTCATTTGTGTGTGTGTGTGGTCTGCGGACATGGAAAAATAATGTAAAATGTACGCCTTGACATACCCTAACATTAAATTGTCTTTGAACAGTTATATTTCAAAAAGAGATGACATATTGTCTTAAGGTAAAATAAAACATTCGACTCATTTAACGCTACTGTGTTTCTAGAAACAGATTATTTTGTTACACATTCATTGGCAAGTGATAATTATTTTGTCACGTTGTCAATGAAATAATCTACACTTTCATTTGGAACTAAATATACCATCGTCAGTGTCACGATGAAACGTTACTGACCATACCGACCTTTTCTTTTCCCCGTGCAATGGAACAAATTAAACATTTTTTAATACAACATTCGATATTGTCGTCAGCTGAAACTGCACACGAAACCAAGACGTCATTTCTGAAGTCGTTGAAACCGTTTATTCTTCTATCAAAAGTGTCCGGTGTCTGGAAGTTTTCCCATCATATCAACTCAAACAAAACGATGGTACACTCGAGTACACTCTGGTACTTGATTGGTGACATTTTGCAAATAGGAGCGTACGCATTTATCACGTGGAAACTTATCCAAGTAAAAAGTCATCATGTAATGTATTTCAATATGTTTCGCCATTGGATAATTGTGGTCGCAGCCAGAATTTCAGACAAATGGATAATCAAGTAAAATTATAAGTTATAGAACATTAAAATAATTTAAATGGGAACGCCACACCGTCAGTTTAGTAGACATGGTAAATGTAAAAAAAATGAACTTACACTTCTAATTTATTGCAGGCACTGAACTCGGTACAAGGAACGTGTATTCAGATTGGAAAATGTCCTGACCTAGGAGGCAGCCATTTTGTGTACCAATTTTTATAGAAAGTAAAAATACTACGTTCCTTTTCAATGATATATACAGGGTGATATTTTATCGTGGGCCACTCAATATCTCACTGGATTTAATTATAGTGGATTTTTTCATAGTGTTTTTTTTATAATGTGATCTCAATTTTCCACAAATTTTTATGTTCCCCTTCTAAGTACCTAAGTTTTTTGATAGCTACTTTTGAAACTCAAATTTTAACGTATATATTTTATTAACTTATTAAATTGAGAATATTTTACTAATTATTTTTACTGGTTGATAACCAGTTTTGAACCACTACTTTTAAAGTTATAAGAGTTTAAAAGTTAAGACAGGAGGGGTAGTGCGCGCAGATAATACTACACTCCATCTTTCTTCCTGCCCTAAACTTAAAGCTTCAAGAACTTTAAAAATAGTGGTTCAAAATAGGTTATCGACCAGTCAACATTTTTAGTACATTATTCTCAATTGAATAAAAAGTTAATGAAATATATACGTTACACTTTAAGTTTCAAAAGTCGATATAAAAATAGTAAGTTTGGAGGGAGATAGGAACATACACGTTTGTGAAAAATTGAGATCACAATATTATATGAAAAAAACAACTTATTATTAAACCCAGTGAAATATTGAGTGGCCCATGATAAAAATAATATCTCCCTGTATTAGGAATGTTAGATAAGGTGATGATAACACCATCATAATATCACAGCTATTTACATAACATAGTCTGTGATATATATTTGATAAATCATAGAAAAAACAATAAAACACATCATGGACAAAACGATGACTGTTCACAAAATGGCGGCCTCTTACTAGTGGACATTTTCATATTAAGCAGGCAATATGCGTTCCGTATGAAGGGCACAGGGGAAAAACGGTAGTTGTCACATTATGAAAATTTTGGAGTATAACAAAAACAAAGTTCGTGAATTCCTCTACCTTCTTACATAAGAACAAAAAAAAAATTAAATGCTACTCTAATAATAAATGTATTTATTTAAACAATCTATTGACATAAATAAAAAAAATGATTGGCATAAATTGAAAAAAACTATTTGAAAAAAAAATGTTTCATAATGTGACAACTACCGTTTTTCCCTGTGCCCTTCATATGGAACTAAGTTCAGTAATAGCAGGCATTCGGTCATAGGTTCCCAAATGATAACAGGTTACCACTCTAGGTTATGACGGTCCCGCTCTACCCCGCCCTTCGTGGTCTTTTACCAGGTTATAACCAAGGTATACCAATTGCAGAATAACACTATAGGATGGCTTGGGAACCTATGAGCGCTTACCGCAATGGCAGATGGGTGGCGTCCCCTTTTATGTGATATTTCTAATGTGTTTTATTTACATAAAATGTAGTATCTCAACGATAACGCGATTCAAACGTCGTCGATTGATTTCAGACTGGTAAACGGCATAACGGATTACGATTTGAACATTTCTACTGATCCGCGGCTGTTGTCCTACAATCGCACACCGGGAATTGTATTTTGGCACACCGTGTTCTACGCGTACACTGTGTACTTCGGAGCAATGCACGCCATCATGTCGGTCGCGATTTTGGGAAATTATGTGAGTTCGGCTTACCAACTGATAGTCGGCATTCTATGCGACATACCGCGGTTGGCCGATTTCGTGATAATGGCCAACACGTACATATTTTTGGGAAACTTGGGATGCAGATTTTGTGCACTGAACGTATTTTGGAAACGACTACCAGCCACTCTGCTGATGACGCCCGGATGCTGGTCCAAAGAAGAAGTGGTCATGTTGGTCGAATGTTGCAGACTGTTGCACGCCGACCTTTGCAATTTGCTCAGAATGTTCAGCATCGCATACGGACCCGTTTTGATGTTTCTTTCTTACTTTATAATATTCGATATGGGCTTAAACGTTTTCGTCATCCTGTATGCAAACGACCCGAACATACCCGTTTTGCCAGCATTCCTGGTGTTTCTCCAAAACATCTTCTTTGTAGTCACTTTGCTGGCACTAACCACGTGGACTATCGATCAGGTAGTACGACGTATTATTCTCTAACAATACATGCATTCTGTACAGGTGAAAATTGGCTAAAGGCACATTCTCGCGAATCAAGTTTAAATGACCGATTGTAGTCGATCAACAAAAGTTGAATGCAATTTTTAGTAGCAACCTTTGTTTCCATAAAGTTGATCAACTTCTCGGTGGATCGAGGAAAGATTGATTTGGTCAAACTTTATCGCAAAACAGTTGTTTTCAAGTTGAGATCTGTCTTGAAACGTGTTTACGTGTGTAATCAGTTGATATGCAAGTTAGCTTTCAAGTTTCAACTGGTCACTAATACATTTGTGTAGTATTATGTTTTTTGTGTAATGTTAGTTTTAGTGTTAAATTATAGTTAAAAATTTAAAAAAACGAGCCTCAAGTGGTCTGTAGGTTAACTTAAGACATTCTTAAATTATTTCTATATTTATTTTTATCTTCTAATGCTAGTTTTTTTTTACTCAAATCGTAACTTTGTTAATTTGTATTTACACGTCTAATAAAATCACTATTTAATTAACTAGTTATTGATATGTTGTTTCAGAAAAATAGGATAATTTTTCACTTGCGTTCTTGCCGGATTGCCGATTTGCCTGAAGAAATAATCACACAGGTTATTATTACTGTCATTAGCATAAAATTGTATCAATTTTTGTATATAATAAATAAAAATGTAAATGCGGAAAATTGAAATTTTTAAACTCAAATATCTAACATTATTTTTAAGTAAATAGACATTTTCATCATATAAATATATCTACTCATATAGGTAGTATATTATAAATATATATCTCTCTGGATCCAGAGTATTTTAAATATAAAACGTATAATTTAATAATAAAAATATATTTTTTAAAATTACAGTTGCAATGTTTCATGAAACAAGTGTCCAGTTACGACATGTATGAAATATCAGCCAACGGGTTTTTCAATTATGATCTAAGCTTTATATTAACGGTTAGTGAATGTAGTAAAGAGCTCAATAAATATAATTAAATACATATTTTTTATTCGATTTTGTACAAAACGATATTAAAAAATAATTTAATAAAACAAATGATAAAAAATTCCACACAAAAAAAAAATACATAGTCTAAATATATTATTATAACAATAATAAAAGTAAATTTATCATTTAAACAATAAACATTTGTTTAAGATTACAACAATGCTGTGCAAAGGTGTTACTACTATGCTACAAATGGATGGACATAAAACTTTTCGATTGTTCGTCAACAACACTTTTCAATATGATCATAGCAATGAAACTCGACCATATGTTAAACCTTAATTTAATTATTTTGTCAATATTCATATTGAGAAAAAGTTCTTAGGTACCTACTATAACTCATATTTTATGTATTCAAAGTTCTTTGAAACCAAATAAATAACTGCACAGAGATGTTCACTACTGTAGACTGGATATAATATTCCAGTGTGCACGATATAATATGTACATTCCAAATTAGCATAACACCAACAGTGGACAATAGGAAGATTTTTTTTATAAATATATTACACATGAAATCTGCATACATATATTTTTAGTTTGTCACCAAAAAATGAACATTGAAAAAAGCCAATGTTTTTTCAGTTTTGCATCCAATAGCTATGTATAGTATTTAAATACTTATATAAAAAGAATGTATTATCAGATTTATCACGATGATTTTATACATTTGCAAATAAAATGTTTGTAAACCTGTCAGATCATTTTAATGAACAATGACTATCAAAAAACACATAAATAAAAAACAAGCACATAATGTAAATTATATATAAACTTGGGTGTAGCCGACCAAAACATAACTGTATTGTGTTATTATGACACAGGTAAATATTATAACCGTGTAACGTATTGGGGGGACCAGGTCAATTTTAAGAAATATTTAAAACGCACTCAAACATCTTCTATCGCGAAAACTCATACATTCGCCACAATAAAACTAAATGATAATTATTTCATCAGGTGTTACACTTATTGCATCCGCTCGCATACGGCTGTTCTATTTTTGATTTTTTAACGCATAAGCCATAAGCCATATAGAATACAACATAGATACATGAATTTATAATTCTATAAAGAAATGAACTGGGCCTCCCAAGTACCCCGCCTATACAGCTGTGGGGTCAAAATCGTTAGAATGAGATAGACAGAATGGTTGATTAGATAGGTTTAATATATTAGTATCAAAAACAAATATTATTAAACAGATAAAACATAATCATAAATTGAATTAAAAAATAAATAAATAGATACAAACACATTATGTAAAAACCATAACGTAGGTTTTTTTAAGTAATATTATTGGTTTTTTATACAAACTTTGTGTTTGCTAAAATACTTGTAGCAATAATATGGTACTATCATGTAAGCAAATTCAAACGTTTTAAAACACAAGTAATAAAACAATATGTGGCCTATTTTGCCGTTTGTTTCGCAATCGAACAGCTTGCTGAAAATAAATTAATGTTAATCATTTAACACAAAAGTAAAGTTAAACGAAAATTAATGTTTTTAATTGAATGAATATTTTATATAATGAATTCAAAAACTAAACACTTAATGAAGATATATATTATATAATATATGAACAGCTGAAATGTACTGACATCGACTAATACATAATTGTATTATTGATATTTGAACATAATATTTATCTTGTGTGTCTATTGGGGTAACAACAATGCTTAATAACTATTGTGCCAATTGTAGCAACATGTTGAATGCAACATGTTTAACGCAAAATAGTAATATTTTATTTAGTTTTTCCAAATTCCTGATCAATCTACATAAAACAATTGTGTACTATAAAATTTTAAAAATTAGGAATCGAAGGGATGACACGTGTCTTCATGGCGAGCTTGGGCAAAGAATTTAATTAAAATGAATTCGTTCGCGGACAATTTTTTCTCAAGGTATTCAACAAAAACATAAGCGTACAAATTAGTGTATTCGATATTGTGACAGACCAGTACATTTCTGCATTCCGCACACTTGGTTTTCATAACTATACCGGCACTTTCAGCGATATCTTTGAGATGGTCGGTTGACAAACCCATCGAGACGGTTACTCTGTAAATCAGAGGCAACGTTTTACTAATGCCGATCAACAAACGCATCCCGTTGGACTTTATGTCTGCCATGGTGGCGATTTCGCCGTTTGTTTCTGTACCGAACAGCTCGCTGAACCGCGTGAATGGCTCGTCGTCCGTCAGCCACAATAACCGGGTGAACTCCTCAAGTTTGCCGGAAATCTTCGAGTTGTACCGGGATCTACGGTTAACACACACCACATGCTTGGTCAGGGTCAAGTGGTGCAAACACAACCGGAGCATCATTATTTTCAACATGGTCACGAAATCGCGGTGAAGGTCGTGCAACGCATCTAGTTGTTTTTGCAACGACGCTTTCGGATTCATAATCGTTTTGTAACTGAAAGCGAATAATTTTCTAAAAACCCTGTCGTTGGGAATCAAACGGAATTTCACGGTCAACGTGTCAAACACGTCGGGGTTTTCCATGACGTTGCTCAAACGCAGACAATCCGCACTAATGCCGTTGCCAATGGATCCGGTCATCTCTCTGATCGGATCGTTCATAAATAATATGTACGACTGTTCGACGTTGTCCATCAACACGAACGGAGGATTCACACTGGTCACTCGGGCGATGTACGTGTCGAATGTCAGTGGATATCCGTTTGGAGGTTCCAAGATGGGGCATTCGATTTGCAACTTATCGCGCAACATCTCAAAAGTCTCATTGTAAATGCACTCGATGCTTTCACCATTGGCCACAAGCTTCTCGACTTTGTGCGTGTACAAAAAAAACGCCCACATGGGTCGCATCATGGAGTCCATTTGGCGAAACCGTGACATGAACACCAACATTTGTTTGGACCAGTCGTGAAAGCAGCTGGAACTACAATAGTCTACCAAATCGTCGTTGAGCTGACCATCCGACCAGTGACCGCTCAAAATGGCATGACTCAAGTGCACGTGGAAAATGGCGTGATACAAGAAATTGCATCCGATCATTCCGGCGAGATCCGATGGGAACATTTCCGGTGGTAAGACAACAGCTATGTCGGCCATCAACCGACCGAGCGATGGTGCGTCATCTTGTGGGTCGTTTGTACTTGGAGCTGAAATTCGGACCGTGTCGAGTAATAGTATTACGGCACAGGTAAATGTAACCGTGTAACGTACAAGCAACCACGTCATGATGTATTGAAGACGAAACGAAAATGTATTTTAATATCTTCTATCGCGAAAACTCATACATATTATTCGCCACAATAAAACTAAATGGTAAATATTTCATCAGGTGTTACATTTGTTACGTCCGCTCGCATACGGTTGTTGTATAACGCACGATTTTTTTTTAACATAAAAACCTAAACGATACAAAATGTATCTTTATGTACATAATACAGACATTTTAACTAGAATTAAAAATCTTAGGATCATTGTATTTGTACAGATAATATAAAAGATAGAATCACTTTCAAATTAATACTTCAATGCGTATCCATAGAAATAAATAAATTCATTATTCATTGTCAGTTATCTGGTTAAAATTGTGTTTTATCATTTATAGGATGCATACGATTAGGGTTGATCGTCTGTCTACAATAACCTGCCGCCGTTATTACTCATATATGTACATAATATATTGTTATTGTATTGTGATTAACAATATAGTGAAAATATTTTCAAAAGCATGTTGATAATTCACTCACACATAGGAGCCTAAAAAATTGACTACGGTCAAAGTTTAATTTTATCCTTTTTTTGGTTTTTCTCAAATAAAAATAAAGTGTGACAACAGATTTTTAGGAAAATTGTAAATGTTATAAGTTCATTTTAGATGTTATAGACCTTTGGTCTTATTTTCAGACCTTAAATCCTAAGACTTCGCCAAAAAATAGGAAAAGTTTCCACCCCTTCTAGGGGAAAAATTGTATGATATTTTTTGTTCGTCAAAGTTTTTCTTAGTTAGTTCTATGTTTAATAAATAATATTCCACTCAGATTTGGAACTTATTTGACTATTTTTAAAATTGTATACAGGGCTATATTTTTTAAGTTAAAAATGCAAAATTATTCAAAATTTTTTTTGAAGGAATTCAAACGTTTAATTAAAGATTTGCTCTCTTTATGCATTTAGAATTCTACATTTTAAATGTACACGTTTTCATCGCTAAATACGATGCTCTACACATTTTTTAAAACTAGTCGTATTAGTTCGAAATTTGTAGGGCATATTTTTTGTCAATCATTGTACTACAGATAAACTCTGACAAACTAAAAGATATCATTTTTCTTTACATCGCTTTTTAGGTGAAGTTTTAGGTTTTAAAGTCTGAAAATTAGACCGAAGGAAGTTGAAAATATATTAGTTCAACAGCAACTCTTATAAATCGTCTCATAAATCTCAATAAATCTTTAAAAGAGTATTTATAGTATTTTGGATATTATAATAATTTAGTTAAAACACTTAACTAACATGAATTGAAAATGTGATATATTAACACTCATTAAATAACAAAGAAATTATTAACACTAAATTATTTACATTGAAATTTTTGGTTTTTAATTTATGAAAGGCGTGGTAGCGTCGGCTTATACACTATCGCCGGTGCTTCTAGAATTGTCTATACTATGCCCCTTTCTTGTACATGAAATGTTACTCTCTAATTTCTTCCAACAATTACCATTTTGTAGGTTTACTTTTAAAAGACATTTTCACACAAGTAAATGCTATTGTTCAAATTAGTTTCAATATCCACTTATATCGTGAATATTGTCTCGTCTTAAAGATTTATACTGAACTTTTGCCAATCAACCAACTTACACACACACACTCGTCAAGAAAAAACATTTAATCTGTATAAAACAATAGTAATACTTTATTACAACAAAAAATCATTATAGGCAACATTTTATTAAACAATCATTTTTAGATACATTTTAATAACGTGAACAAAGACATTTATTGTCTAAAAGAATAAACATAATGGTTAACGGATAACTAATACAATAGAAAAAACAAATTAGATTTTGTGTTATACTTTAGTCTTTTAAACACCACTTATAGTACGTCTAAATAAATCAAACAATAAGAACAAATTCAATATTTTTAACCCTTCAATGCATGATTTTTTAAAATTTTAGGTAAATAAATCTTTTTAAACCAATTGGATGGCGTAGAATTTGAAAAAAAAAATCAAAAATGAATAGTTAATTTTTTATTCATATTTCATTTATTGAATGGTTATCATAGTTATTCATATGTTTAAATATCACTTTAATATGATAGATGGTGTTGTGTATACTTCCTATACAATATAATAATAAAAGAGAAATTAAAACATGTTGCGCTTTTGCAGAAATGCAACATGTTTCTTATATAATTTTATTTTGTTAGAAAAAATACATTTAATTCAGGAGGTGCCCTATAATTCCTAAAAAAAATGGCCATCTACCGGATGTTATAAACGTAGTTTTTTACTTATTTTCCCCAAATTCCTGAACATTTAATCTATATAAAATAACAACAATTTTGTACTATTGAATTTTGAAAATTGGCCATTGAAGAAGGCTAGCGTTACGTGACTTTACGGGGCACGGGCGAATAAGTTAATTAAATAGAATTCGTTTCCGGAAAATGTTTTTTCGAGATAGTCGACAAAAACATCAATGTACAAATGAGTAAATTCGATTCCGTGGCATCCCAGTACATGTTTGCACTCCGAACATGCGGTTTTCATAACTACACCCGTCTTTCCAGCGATATCTGTAATTCGGGCAATTGACAAACCCGTCGAGATGGGTTCAGTACCGTAGTCGTGTATGTTCATGAGCAAGTCATCGCAAATGTCTCGCAGCGCTTTCTTACCGTCCGATTCTAGTTTTCCGATGGTCGCCGTCTCGCCGTTTGTTTCTGTACCGAACAGCTTGCTGAACTCCGTCAATGGGTCTTCGTCGTCTGTCAACCACAATATCTGTGTGAACTCCTTAAGTTTGCCGGCAAACTTGGAGTTATACCGGGATTTACGATTAACGCACACAACGTGTTTGGTGAACGCCAAGTGAAACAAACACAACCTGAGCATCATTATCTTGACCATTGACACGAAGCGACGGTGAAGGTCGTGCAACGCATTGAGATGTTCTCGCAACGACTTTTTCTGATCTAAAACCGTTCTGTAAACGGTATTAAATGATGATTTAAACTTGCCGTCATCGGGAATCAACCGGAATTCCACGGTCAACGTGTCGAACACTTTGGGGTTCTCCATCACTTTGCTCAGCCGCAGACCGTCTACACTAATGATGCCGGCAATGGATTCCGCCAATTCTCTTATGATGTCGTTCAAAAATATCACATAGGAACCTTCAAGGTTATCTTTCAACGTCGTCGGACGATTGTCGCCGGTCACTATGGCCATGTACGATGCATATTCCAGCGAGTCGTTTTCTGGATGTTCCAAGACGGGGCAATCCGTTTTCAGTGCACCGTGTAGCATCTCAAAGGTTTCCTCGAAGACGGACGCGATACTTTGAAGGTTCTCCATTTTATACGTGTACAAGCAAAATGCCCACATGGGCTCGATCATAGATCTGATTTCACGAAAGCGTGACATGACCACCAGCATTGTTTTGGACCAGTCGTGAAAGGAATACTGTACCAGAGCTTCGCCGGGGAGCGCATGACTTACGTGCACGTGAAAGATGGCGTGATACATGAAATTGCATCCAATCGTTGTGGAAAGTTCCGGTGATAAGGCGTGCAAGATTGTGGTCAACCCGCGATCAAGCGTTTGTAAATCAACTTGTGCGTTTGTATCTGGAGCTGAAATTCGGACCGTGACGAATAATAATACCAGGACACAGGTAAATGTAACCGTGCAACGCATTAGGTACCAGGACATTTTTAATGACATTTTTAAAACGCACTGACACAAAATTGTAAATTTTACTACTATTTTCCAACACCGAAACTCATACATTCGCCACAATCAATCGACTGGTAAATATCTCATCAGGTGCTACATGTTTTTCTTTTAGCGCGCACGCCTAAGACGTGTGCTTTCTTTGCAGTTCTACATGGACTAAAAGTTCGGTGAATATGTTTGTTTGTAAACATAACCTAGATTATATGTGTACAATGAAAACACAATTATACCTGTGTACAAAATAGTGTTTTCATTTTACACATATATTATCTAGGTTATGTTTAATCGAAAACTGTCTTCACATATGCATATTCGAAAAACAAGAAAAGTTTTACCACGATTTTAGCGTAGAGCACTTTTTTCGGATATGTAAATACCATTGTTCAAATTAAATTCAATATATCAACCAATATTGTTAATATTGTCTCGTTCTTAAGATTTACACTGGACCTTTTCCAAGTTCCACGAAGTTCCTCCACTTTGGCACCGACCTAACTATAATAATATGTGTACTGTTCAAAAAATTGTAATGACCTTAAAATATCATTGTACGGTTAAAACCAAAAATGATTAGCGTAGGTCGTTTTTTGATAATTTTTGAAAATCACCAGTAAGTCAGGTTGTATGGAACACAAAGAAACGGACATTTTTTAAATTGATAAAACCTTTTTTTATAAAATTGGACACTCTAAAACCAAAGGTTTTCAACATAGTTCAAAGATGGTACAGTTAAGATTTTTTTTTTAATTTAAAAAAAATAGATGTATATCTGTGTAATTGATAATCAAATAAAACTTTATCTTGGTAAAATTTTATATTTCTTTCGATGTAGGACTAAAACAACAATATTAGAACAACATGTTTTAGTGATAGGTACAATTGATGGTTCACATGTATTGATATAAGGTGATTGTTATACCAAGATTTATTATTTTGTTTTCTTCGCCGATGCTCAAAAAGTAGTCAAAAGAAACGAATTTAGCCAAATAACGACTAAAAACTCATAAAATATTTCCTGGGTGTTTAAAAAATTACTTTCGAACGTCGACTTTTTAAACTAAAATTAATCTATTAGCTCTATTAACATATTTAATTGCAACTTAAATCTAATGATAACTAATACAATACAGTGGCGTCATTTAGGGAAAGGCGAAGAGGGCATGTGTCACCATTTCTTGTGTCCGGTTGGGTTTATGCCGGTTATGGTCCTTTAGTGCAAGACTGTCACAACTCAAAATTTTGGTTTTTTTTTACTCATTTCTACAGGTCTATTGCTATATTTTTTTGTCTACAAAACGATTTACCACCACAAGTGATAACCCAACCAACGCATTTGTGTCTGTATTGAATTTCTTAATTTTTGCGGTTCAAAAATATTACACTGCCACATTTTTTAGATACTGCGTAGTTGCATGTTTTTTTATATTTTTATAGTTATCATAATAAATCAAGACTGCCTTATTTCGATTTGAGGCGTTTAACTTTTAACATAATAATAACTCTTAGCCGGATGACACCCTGTTGAAAAAATAATAAACTGCCAAGTTTTGTGTTGTAGCGATAAATTAATTAAAAGAAAAAAAAACAAAACTGCCATATTCCTCATTATGGCGTATAAAATATTTGATTTGAAATGGTAAACCGCCACAAAAACAAAATTTAGTAGTTTGGTTGTTTTATGAACCTATTGCTAAATAGCCATAACCCCAAATTATGGTGTCTGACTTGAGATTTAACTAAGTAGTTTAAAATTAAAATAACTAATAAGTAGTTTAAGTACCATGCAATCGATTCCAAATAATACAGCTTTTTTTTTACGAAAGGTTCAGATTGACGAAGGTACTGAGTAATTTGGAATACTCATTAGGACCATAGATACAAAAACTTGAATTAAAATAAACTAAAAAATATAATAATAACGGATGAGATCGGCATGGAAATTAAATTGCAGATTATGACATTATTTTTGCAAGCGTTGCATGATTAAAATGTCAGCTATAAACGATCAATATCATGTATGTATAATTGACTATGTATATTTTGGGACTTGTGCCGAAAATACATAATATATATATATATATATATATATATATATATATATATATATATATACTGTATAGTACAAATGTTAATACAATAGAAATAGAAAACGTATAACAAAACTTACAACAATACACTTTGTCACTCCGTAGAAAATTAATCGTCAAATCAAAAATCTAAACAATATTATAGTAAATAAACTAAAGTAATAGGCACGTTTGCAACATCTTACATCACCGGTGTTCGTCCGATAAAAAACTTGTAAGCTTAACAATAATAACATAATACAACACTTAACAGCGATATGACCGTATCGTTATATTGTACAAAATATAATAATATATGATGACGGTTGACGAAAATGATACAATATTATAATATGTAATTTTGTCATTACTTTTTTAAGATCAACAATATAGTGTATAAACCGAGGTGCTGAGGCGGATTACAAGACATGCAAATTTTCGCAATTCTTCAGTTTCGTGTCTTCCTTGCCAAACACCCAAGTGAACATTTGTCTGGCTTTTAAGCTGGCTTTTATGAAGTTTCTATTTTTGTACCAGTGTTCGTGGGCCTCGGCCACGGTGGACCGCTTAAGTCTGATTTGGGTGAGAATTCCCACTAGCAGTTCGTCCACGTTGTGATTTATGCCCACCGACACTTCGATAAACTTTGCCCTGCATGTACACGCCAAATATCTGCCTTCTGCGGAAACCAACATTTCTATTATTATTACTTGTCTATTTCAACATAATTATAATAGCATTACATATTTAATGTAGTAAAAAACACAATTAAGCTGATACAGTGCCCAAGTAGTACCTAGATCCAGTACCTATACATTCTCATACCTAAGGCAATAACTGTCTTACTAATAGCCATCTTTAATTGAAGTTTATAGTTACATAATTGAAAGTGAACGGAAAAAACGTCACAACATTTTTTTATTACTACCTCAACATCATTCAGTATCCAAATTGTTAAAAATATAATTTTTTAGGATGTATCCTGGTGAACATGTATTGCTTAAGGAAGAAAATATAATGCCTTTTAAATCAACCAATAAATCAACTTGTGGTCTGCGTGTTGTAATTTTTCAATAAGAAATTAATAGCTAATAAAAGAAAAAGAATATATTTTATAAGTATTTGAAAATTATTATTAACTTAAAATCTCTCGACCTAAAACATTTTTTTTTTTAATTTAATTTTTACCTACTTTAGGTCTTTGCTTAACTATAATAGTTATTATTTATTATCGATATTTGATACACTAATATAAAACACACTGATGACAAGAAGTGTAGTCTGTAGATTTAGTTGACAAACAACAAACGATTCGAGCGTGAATTATCCCAGAGAACGAATTCTTTGCCGGTTTGGCATTATCCTTTGGTATACTTAAAAGAATTTAAAAAAACACTTGGCTGCGAACAAGATGTTAGAAAAAAATTAATTTTAAACGCGCTTTTATTATAGTCGCGTGCACGTTATAAAATTAATAGTTGGTCGTCAGTCATAACACACTCAACTGACTACGTGAATACTTAATGGTTTTGGCTGACAGATAAAAAAATAAGTCACCGAGGATTATGTTGTCGAACCAAGAAAAGCGCAATACACTTGGCTAGATCGTAGATGTCAGGTTATGAATAAAAAATATTAATATGTTAATTATGTTTTTAACAAACCATAATAATTCTTACAAACAAGTTTAACAAATAAGAGTAGATATTATTATGCTAAAAGTGAACTAAGGGACATATTCCAATGTTGTTTACAATGGTCAATAATCGCTAATGACTATAGTTTATTGAAACATTTTGATTTTACAAAGTCGGTTAGTGATGTAAAATCACTTCTACTCTAAAACATAATTTCTATTACACAAATACACTCTTTATTTGGCCTCAAATCAATAACAAGCGAAAGATATCTATGCCGGCAGGAATGAGCAAAACCGAACAATAAACTCGACGAAGACATATCTAGTCTGTCAGCAGTCAACACAAAATAAATGTCATAAATTAGGTAGATCAAATTTCACAAGATTGATGAATTAATGCAAGGAATGTATTACTACTACACTTTACTGACCGTTGGGCGACACTTCTCGACTCCGGGCCATATCCACTTTGTTGCCGACCAGTATGATAGGTCTTGTACGCAGTGAATCGTTTTCCCGTAGTCTCTTCAGTATGATTTCGGCTGTCTCGAAACTGTGTTTGTCCACCACCGAATAGATAACCAAGTAGGCATCGGCTATTTTGAGCACTCGGTCGTCTTTCAGCTGAAAAGTATACTTACGGTAAATACAACTGAAATGTAACCGCTTGTGCAGAAACAGCGTTTAATGATTTAAAAGGCGAATATTATTACCGATATCTCACTGTCGTTTAGGAATTTTAGTTCAGACTCTTCGCCGTTTAACATGATGCACACCGACTGCACCGAGGATTCGCATCCGATGTCTGCAACGTTAAGAAGAAGACAATTTAAGAAAATGTGTAAACAACACATTGTTATGTACTTTCATAATAATAGTTATACACAAAGGTCGCGAAAAAAAAACTAAAATACAACAGGAACTTTGACAATGTTAAATTAAAAATCAATCATTAACTTAAAGACACAATTTCAAAATAATTATTAAGTGATTTCTAAAATACTGTCATAATGATAAAAATTATGTTAATAATGACAAGTGAAGTGCGATAATTAAGAACGATAGTAATAACATAAGGTATAAATGTACATCGTAAACAAAATAAAAAACAATTTTGTATTTTTTACTTACTGAAAACAATTATTCATATATTTCAATGTATGTCAATAATTTTTTTTATGACAAATTTAAATAAATTTACAAAATAATGTTAAATTAAAATAGGTTCCGCCTAAATGTTCAGCTTTATATTATGGTAACAGCAATAAACTAAAAATAATTGGCGTTGTCACACTCGAATTTCTCTTTAAATTATTGAGGCAATAAATAACACAATAATTCTGATCGATATTGTGCCAAACACTTGAATGTAAGTATATTTTTTTTTATTCGTAAAAAAATTGCCAATAGGATACTAGTAAGACGATCGCTGTTTCTTAGCTATGCGGGTAAGGAGTGAGTGTTTTTTTAAAAAATTATTTTCCAAACTATTTTGGTCTATGAACCGTGAAGTGTGAAGTATTGATACAAAACAGCTTTGACCGTGATATTGTGCATTTTTAAGATTTTTTATTTCTCGCTTCCCAGAAGTATTACACATAAATCCAAAAACAAATCCAATACGCACCTCTTTGTCTCTCGTAAGCGTTAATGTATTCTGAAGTCATAAACTGGCTGATCAGCGCCGTTTTGCCTACTCCTCTGGTGCCCAACAAGGCGACCGCATATGAAGTTATGTTATCGTCGTTCTGCTGAATGTAGTCAACCGGCGGAGTACATTCCTTGGAATCATCATCTTGGGCTAAACTGTTGCTTCTAGATCTGCGTTTCCGAATGAACGAATCGCCCCTATTGATTATACCTGAAATCAAAGTACTTATAACTAATAACGCTCGAAATAGAGTTAGACACCCCGAATATATTGTAAAAATATTGTATCGGGAAAACAAAAAAAAAACAAAAATTATGTTCATTATATTAATTTTAGTTGAATATTTTGAATAAGTAACTAAAAATATGCACTATTTTGAATTTTTGAATTTTTTTTTTATAAATAAGCGTTGAATTATTCAATTAAATTCGCGAGAGAACTGCTGTGCATTATTCGAATAAAACTTTATCTAAATAATCGTCTAGATACCAGATTATTCAAGTAAAAATTATTCAAATGAAAAGTTACTCCAATAATTTTAAATTCAATTATTCGAATAATTTTTAATCGATCAATCGTTTATTCAATTTATTCAATCATTCGAATAAATTGAAAAAACAAATTATTCGAATAAGAATTTGCACAACTCTGTTTGTGGTAAATAATTGAAAATGTAAATAATCGCATTTCCCTGTTTTTTAGGGGATTGAAAATGTTATGTTTTTTTTTAAGTTTTTAGACTAGAACGCCTGACAAAATGTTGACTACTTAGGATGATCCGATTTCAATTATGTAAAGAGATACAAGTTCTTTGGCTACCTACATTGCTAAATTATGTAGGAATCGGATTTTTTTAATTTTTGCTTTTTTTATGTAAAAAATAGTTTTTTATTATTATTTATTGAGCGATTTTCCAATTGAATTTATTGAATTACAAGAAATTGAATTATTTAAATGAAAATCGGTTTTCTACATGACCTAGTAAAGTGGCCAAATCATTTTTTCCCAGAAACGAGATCAGACTGTCCTCATATGTAGACGTGATTTTGTCAGACGTTTAGGTCTAAAACGCCACCAAAAAGGCGTTTACTACTTGAAAAAAAATTGTAAGTTAATAAAAAAACATTGAAGCTTATCGAAATTAACCTGTACACAGATCGACATTATCAAAACCCATTTTTTTCTTTATTATTGCCAATATATAAAACTCTTTGAAACCCGTCCGCGTTTAGAATTTGGCTATATTTGTTTGTGTATTTATTTTAACGTTGTTGGAACACACTTGTTGTACTTAAATTTAACTATGACGTTAAGGACTATGTTAGGCACAAACCTTTCGATGTGAAACTAAACGACCGGAGTCTGTATGAGTTTTCCGAGTCTTCCTGTTCGGATTTATTGTCGGTCGTTATGCCCGCGGGTACATCTAAAAACGCTCCAGATTTCCTATGACCCGTGGGCGCTTTTCTCGTCGACGGTTTCCGCTTGAAGCCGTTGACAACTGTCGTATCTGGAACAACACGGTGTTACACGTTTGGGAAGTGAATGCATTTTATTTTAAACATAAAAAAAAACACATAAATGTATACAGAGAAACCACACACACACAAACACACCAATACATATATATATATATATATACACACTACTTATTATGTTTTATACACAAGGAAAATCAAGTCGGAAAGCGCTGACGGATCAATGGGAGGGCTTAGTGCCAGAATGATTCCAGACAAATTCTAAATTTAACTCAAACACTGTTCAACAACCAAATCCTTTGTCAGTCGGACGGTGTTCATTTTTTTTTTTTTTTGATGATCTCGACCGTTCGAAAATAAAATTATTATAACTCGGTGGCTTATTAAATTTTATCGTGTACACGCGACTTGTTGTAAACGTGTACCGAATCGGAAGTCTTAGTTGTGTGTACAACTCCAAATTCGTGTTGTTGCCAAGTGCCGAATATTGTCGGTTGTGTACCGTCCAGCGAGGACTGTCTATTTTTGAATAACCCGGTAACGACCCTTGAACGACGATAGCTATCAGAACATTACTGTCTATCACACATATACTATTATGTTATATATTATGTCGGTGATAACAAGCAAATATATTCAGCAGATGATTCAGTTCTGAAATTAATATTTCTCCTATAGAATTTTTTTTCTACCAGTGCCCAGAGGTTTTACTCTGAGCTGTTGACTAGGGTTTAGGTTTGTTTACATAATAATGCTTTCACAGGGAGTGCACCGTCTGGTTTTATCTTATAGCCGCGATAAACAGCTGTAGATCTGCAAACTGTAATTGTTGCAAAATTGTAGGTAACGCAATACGAAGTAAAGTGTTAAACATCAGTGACATCTAGAGCAAATTGTAAACCACGAAAATATTCGTCTATTTAAGAATGTTTAGCTTACGGTGTGAAAACACAATCTAAGATATAGTTAGAATAATTGTCATAGCCGAATTCGTATAAACCGCCAAGTGTACTGTCAGTTGTAAAATTTACAAAAAAATGTATATTTGAATGATATCAAGACATTAACCGCCGAAACTCACAAACTAGATGAGACACTCAACAAGATGAGAGTGGTGCAACTGCGCGGGTGTCATTGTCGGTCACAGTGTTTTTTTTTTTAAGAAATATACAATTATAATATATTTTGTATACGGTTTGTTTCAAGGACTTTTGCAAACACCACGCGGTTATTAGATTATTAAAATGGTTTTCGCGTGACAGACACACTGTTGAAAACCTACACACCCATTGCGTATGAAAAACTGTGAGATTTTTTTAATTTTTGGCACATTGCCCGGCGCAATACAGAGATCTATTCGGCCTTTGGACCGTCTTATTGTCTCAATTATTATCACCGTGTTGGTCACTCTTCTGCAACAAGCACACGAGTGCACGTACCGTTTCTGATACATGAGATTATATTTATAGACAACACGAATCGACGTTCTCGACTGGCTCGTCATTGAGAGAGGTTGTCTATAATACCCTTCAAGAAGACTGTATACCACCTTATTACTAAGGTGTTCGGTTCAGGCAATTTTTTGCTATTAGTTTAATTAACAAATTGGTATTGTCTTTATTCTCGAACGATAATATAGAAAAAAACATCATTTTAACAAATTAAAAATAATAATATTACAAAGTGTATGGAATAAACTAATAATGTTTGATTTTGAACAACTAAAAAAAAATAATTTTAACATCGGATAGCTCTGGTTGATGGTGTAAATATAATTGATATAATTCAGTATATTATGCAATTTTACCTATACAATCTAGTAATGCACAACAAGATTTAGTGTAAAAACAACGTGCACAGATGGACATAAATGGAGTATTAAATGATTTCCTTCTGTAATTTACAATAATTAATTGGTGTATTGATAATTGGGTAACCAAAATAGTTTTAGGTTCAATGTTAGTGTAATGGTATAATTTATAATTCTCGGAACTTGCAATATACTTATTTTACGTTCTAGTTTGTTTATCGACCGTGTAATTAGGTTTTAAACAGTTTGCTGATTATAAATGCTTCCTATACAAGGCTTAACGAACTTAAATTCTGTGCCTTATTATAAACTACTAAATGCTTTGTACTTGTAATGTTGTTTACAGTTGGAAGAAACGAAGAGGAAGTAATTTGCTTAATAGAAGAAACTTTCGCAGGTTATATATTACAGTTGTAACTTGTTTAATGTTTACTTGTTTAAGTATAATTCAAATAGGTAACTTGATTTTATATATATATATATATATATATAAAACTATTATTTAACCGTAATCAAATAATTAAGTTCAATATTAAGTGGTATAGAATACCGAAGGGTGTAAAGCAAACAATGTTTTTTTACAAAACAAATATTTGATCCAATGTAATGTGTTAGTATAAACTAAGTCTGACCATTATTAACATGGATATGTATTAAGGCTGGGGATCTATCTAGAATATTAGAGTCATCAATTAACGCCGTTGACTATACAGGTTATCTTAATTCGAGCTTATAAGAGACCGCTGATAATGGCTCCTGATAAGAGAGAGAGATGATGAGTAACCAATGGAGGGGAGAGGAGGAGATTGTAAGTCGAGTGAGGGTAGGAGAGGAGATTTGATTGTAACACCAGCCGGAGGTGGGGATAACCAAAAAAACATATCCACTGTTTATTGTTTTTCCATAAATAGAGAAAATGACTTTTAACATGTACCTATATGTTATTGGGCTGGATGCGAGAAATTTTATGTCACCATTTTCGCGTTACGCTAAGAGATAAATGATAAGAGACGAGTGATAAGCGATAAATGATAAGATATACATTTATAAGAGTTATAAGTGATAAGAGACAAGTGATACTACAATAAACCGCATAAACATATCCGTGATAATTGTATCACGGATACAATGGATAGCTATTTTCATAGTTTTTTTTTTACGACCCAAATAAAAAAACCGTCTTGTTAAAATTTTACACGGTTTAAAAAAACAATTTTTTTTTTAAATTCTGGTAACTGTAACTGGCTTATGGCCGTAGGTAAGTGTCGTTCTAACATTTCTTACTAAGTTTATCGCTCACCTTGTGCGGAAGACTCGTGCAGCCTGGGGTCGCTGTATCCGGACCGGACGCTGGTGTTGCTGTCGCTGAGTTCATGGTGGTGAGCCACCGAAGCCGCCGTGACCAGCGCCTTTTTGCGGATCGACCGGTTGGCGGTGGTGCGGGCGCTCTGTGAACGGGCGGCGGGCCGGCGGCGTTTGTCTTCGGCTGTCGACGAAGACGAGCCGATGTGTCGATGAGGAGGCGGCGTGGACATTGTGGCGCAGGCCATCAGGTGTTCGCTGCTGTCCGGGGGAAATCCAAAGGCACAGATGGACGCCGACCGAGCTTTACTTTGGTGGGACGCCGAAAACATGCGACCGTTTTCGTCGGCCATCATTTCACAATAACTCTGAAAAAAAAAGGACAATACACAATTGTTTGTATATTTAGCCTTAAGACACAAATAAGTTGTAACGTTATCGCTCGGGCAACAATCACATGTATGATTTCTGTTGTCGACAACCCTTTTATTATGGATATGTTATTGGGCTGAGGGTCAATCGGAAAATCTGTGCGTCACCACCACGCTGAATGTTACCGAGGAAAATTTGTGCGTGTGAATGAGACAGCTGATAAATAATATTTAATGTTCCGGCCAAAGATTAGAAGATTAGATATAAGATATTAGCAATAAGAGATTCGAGTTAAGAGATGGTCTAGCTGGATGCTGGCGGTAGGAGGGGGAACATAAGATATTAGAATCAAGAGATGGTGCAGCTGGGTGCTGAGGTGGTTCAACTGGATGCTGAAGGTGAGGTAAGAGATAAGAGATTAGAGATAAGAGTTAAGATGTTAGAGATAAAACATTCGATATTAGGAAGTACCAAAAAGTAACAGGGTCCTATACTTGTATTTATCCATTTTCCTATGTACTTCCGTGCAGCGAAGGTAATGCCCACTTTTTTTCTCCTTTTCCATACGAGGTGAATGCTACCTACCTGAAAAATGGTTTTGCGTGTGACAAGAAAGCGAGGACGGTATTTACCTTATAGAATGATGGACGCTTCTGACGAATCTTTAATTCACAATCGAGTGGCGTTTTACAGAAAAACATATAAAACATATGTTTGTACGTATTTTATGTTTGCCAGCCACGGTAAACTTGTTCATTAATGATTTTCCAGAAACTTATGCTACTACTAATCATCAGTTTTTACGTTTTCCTATAAGTGTGTTTTTTGGCACTTGGATCACTTCGCCCCGAAACGCATCATTAGCCTATGAAAAATGAACCGCGAGTGACGGTTATCCTAAAAATATTAAATATTGCTCATCCACTAATATTAATTATAATTTAGGACCACCCACCAGTAGTTTGTGTTGGACATTTTTACTTCAAAGAGTCTGGACAAAGTTTCTGGGAAAAGATCACATTTTACTGGCTAACTTAAAAATCAAATATTTTCTCCAAAACTAAGTATGTTTTCCAGAGTCGGACAGTCGTTTTACACATTAATAAAACTATTTAATACTTTACAACCGCCGTTGTCTGTACACACGCACACACATGTATAAGGAACTGCATATGTTTTTTTTAACGACCGTACTACCGTGTTATAATAAAATCTTTATGAAACATAATTTTATTCGTTCGCTTTACACTATTATATGATATTATATTGTAACGAGTACTCGTTAAATTATATCAGAAAATCGGACAAAGAGAACTTAGATTTTATATTCAATTTTATTTTTGGGACATATTTCGTAAGATACAACTCGTAGTTGAATTTTTAACATATTATAAACGTGAACATTTTTCATTTGCATACAAAAATTTGGTAAATTGGTTAAGTCTGAAATGAACACAACTCACAGTGATAACAATTAGTTTTTGCGTGTAAATAAATTAATATTTTATATGGAAATCTAATTAGATTGCTTTTAGTCATATTAATTTAATCAGTTCAAATAACTCAGAGAACTAAAAGAATATTTAAAAAATAATGTTATTGTTTATTTATTTGTTACATACTTCATTGAGACAAATTCTGTAAAAAAAAAATACCTTCTCGGCTTAGCATCATTGCTAAAGAATAAATATTTTGTATTTTTCTGTTTAAATGAATTACATTGTTCTCAGTAGCTAATGTTTAATTTTTGGTAGATTATTGACTACTTAGGGGTTAATTTTGTATTTGCATATGCATGTGTTTCGATACTTGCCGCACAACATTATGGTTTAAAGGAAATATCACCGTGAACTAGATATATGGACTTATATGATTCTTGTAGTGTAAATAAAGTGGTGAACAGGTAAATTTTTTGTTACAGAGAAAAATATTTTAAAAGAGCAACCAAAATGGAAAAAAAAAACCTCCTTACGCTCGCATACGGCATACTATTCGCATTACTTAATACAGCAAATCAACTTGAAACCAGAACATTATTATGATAAACTGCAACAATAACAATAATACAGATCATCTTGTACAAAATGGTTATTTTAAATTTAAATAGTAGTTTTGTTATTGCTTTACTTTTATTAGCCATCTTAGTATTATTTCATCGTGAGTACACCCCGTTTAACGGCCGCTCTCAATGCTCAAACCACACAATACTAATAATTAACACTAGCTTTTGTAGTAGGTATAGGACATTATAAAAAAAAAAATGTATAATTTCTCATCATTTTAATTATATCTACATGCTAAATTAGACATAGAAGAGGACCCAAAAGGGGCAACTCCCTGATTCCCTATGGACCTAACCACCGCTAAACTGCCAACACTACACTGTGTCTTTACGCCACGGAACGGCTTGATTGGATCTATTAAAAAATAGTAGTAGTACAAGACAACAGTCTTGTTGGTCTGGGACTTGATTATTTTTAAACGGACGCACAACAGCGATGCCTTTTTTTATTATTATTAATCTAGGGTGGTGTGACGCCCACATCGGATTTTGTTTGTTGTGTCAAATAAAAAAATAAATAAAAACGCATGTAAAGTTATAATATTTCAATACCGTGTTTTTCGATGAAAACACAAACGACGATACCATATTACAATATTTTCTTGTCAGTGTGTGGATTTACTGCCATGTGTTGATGATTGGCGGCGCTACTCGAAGAAACGCACGCTGGAGTTAAACATAGCACACGGTACACGGTCGTCAGACGAGAACTGAAGATCTACAAGAAAATATGGCTGTCGACCGAATGGGATTTTGGCACATACAGCGTACACACACACACACACACACACACATGATACGTTGTGTACGTTAAACAGAAAACAGAAGAAAAAAATGCATGTTGGCTAATTACATTTTTAGGTTGAGGTTGAGCAAAAAAAGTTCTGACCTTGTGCGAAAACAAACAAATCCACGTTGCCCGAATTCTGGGGTAAACGCACTTGGCCGATGTGTGAATAATCACAGATTATGTATGAAAACTTCTTTGGTTGACACCGAGTTCTAATCTTACTACCATTACTACCATACACTCCTGTGCATTTTTTCATCAGCCCCATAAATCCACACGTGAGATCCACAAAGCCAAGGTCGGCTTGTAAGCAGAATAAGCTGTACCCTAGCACGAGATCTCGAGTCAAGCCAATGTCGGACCCGTGGGCTTTCCCTGAACAAGCGGAGAGTAAAGGCGGTGAATAAAGTCATCAACACAAGTATTAATTACTAAATTTGAATTAAGAAACTTTCCAAATGGGTAAAAGTACATTATTTTGATTGAGTTTATTAACTCGTTGAATACAAATCTGGTAACCTTTTCTACGTCAACCCTAAGGTGGACCAAACAATATTTTGTTTTTCGTTATGTGGAGCGCGGTAGAGTAATAATTAAGGTAAGTTCACTGTGTCGTGACAAATGTGAAATGATAGCTGACGTTAGATCCACAACTCTGGATTACAATAGTCGTTATGTATGTGACTTGATTAAGCGTTGATTTAGCCCAAGGGCGCCCACAGGTGAAAATTCAGGGGAGGGGGTGCCTGACATTTTTTAACGCGTTTTGCGATTTTAGTTAAAAAAAGTCAGGGTTTCCCCCTTGATTTAGCCGAAATATTCGATTCAAGCCCGGACCGGGGCTACCCGACACGAGTGATGCCGGTACTAATTTGACTATTTTATTTCTACAATATAATATAATACTATTGGAAGAAACAATAATAACGGTTATTCGACATCGAGCTGTTGCGCTTCTACCGTCACGCTAGCTCAGCGCCGGCCGGTAATGTATTTTTAAAGATAGTAAACTTAAAAATACACAAACGCACACACTCAACGCCAAAACAACCGTCGCCCGTTTGCTGTAACTAGTGTATGATTGTAATATTATATTATATTAGGAATGTCTCAATAATAATATTATAATAAAAATATGTAAACCCAAACGGCGAGCCATTGCTAAGAGTCGATCGATGATAACGTGCAACAGTTGCCCGCTCGTACGATATAATAATATTATATTTTTTATTCGAAAATCGTCGCGGAATTAATGAATTTCGAAATATAAAAAGAAATTTCCGGGTTTGCACAATCCCGTCGAAAAGAAAACATTGAAGAGTATCAAGTGTTTTAGAAAAAACAAAATACTAAAAAAAATATCACCCAATGTTTGTACATTTCGTACAATCTGCTTATGAAGGTAGTTTTTACATAATTTTAATTTTAATCTTCTATATGGACTCAACCGAAAAATAATAAATAAACTAACAATTAAAACAATAGTAACTTTTTTACTTTATTGTAAATGTCTAGAAAAATATGAAAATAACAATTTTATAACTATTAACAAATTCTATAATTATTTATAAAAATGTCTTTTATAATAGAAAACATGTATACCTAATATTGTATTATGGCTAAAGATGAGCTAAACGAGAGTCTCCTAATGACCGAACTAATAACGTACACAGTCACAGTTGAACGTTTAAATTAAGATTTTGCAAAAAGTTGCCTACACCTAACTCTTTGATATATAGGGTTTAACGTTCTCAACATAAGGGTATAACGTCCTCGAGATATATCAGCTTGTATATAATAATTAAACACTGAGGGTATTATATATTATATGTTTGTCCCAATATGACTAAATAACCTATTTGTGTACTCACTTTTGGCGAAAAGGCGTTCAATCGTGGTTTGCTAGGAAATTATCGTTAACGGGTCATTGAAAACTGGCGAATAAAAAACGATTACCGTGGAAAACGGATCACATCAATTAGCTGGGCGTCGGTGTACAGTGTTTTTTTTTTTTTTAACTGATGTGTAAAACAGATAATAATAGTATGTTATCTACTCTGTTGTAGTGGCGCGGATTAAAAAACTCAAACTGCGGCGTGTGTCGGCTGCACACCGGCAGCTGTTGGCCGAGCGTTGTCGACACTTACATGGCTGTCGGAGCCTGCGCAAGACAGGTCACCGACCACTGTCTTGTCTGGTCTCCTCGTGGTTCAATTATTATAATTTTGGATTTTTTTGTTTATAATATCCGTTTCATCATTTCCAACACGCGGCGGTAGTCTTATAATCCGAGTTCACCAATCCCGACGGCTGTGCAGCTCTTTATCGATGAGAGTTTTTCGCCGAACGTTTTATTTCTGGAAACGAGATGCGCGATTATTGTCGGCGATGACGACGGGTCGGTTTTTAACGACCAGTGTAAAGAATCATCAACGTTTTTTTTATACTGTCAGAATATATTATATTATATTTTTTTGTACAATAATCGTCACTATACGTTCACTATGATGATAGTGTTACCATCATAAATTGGGCAAAACCCGATGGTGCGCTCACCGTTATAGCAAAACCCTCCTCGACGTCTGAGTGTGTCTAATTATTATTTCAGAGCTGAGCATCGCTGCATTGTAGGCCATACTTGTATTAGAAAAATAAGGGGTCGCGTTCCGGAATGGGGAAGACAGAAAGAGAGTTATTTTTCCATAGAAATGTCTAATGTCTCTTACTTGTGAACCCTAGTTGTTATTACTTTATTCTCTGACGATAGTTTTTATTATCTATTCATATATTATAAAAGTTATATGATAACAATTAACATATACTATAGTACAATGTTTGTATAATAATTTAATTTATAGAATGTGGTCACACTTAGTTAATAAGGGTTTCGGTTATCTGCAAATGACAAAGTGCGCCATTTTGTTTTATTCAATCTGTGATATTATCAAGAGTCAAAATGTATAAGAAGTCTGGTAAAACCGAGTTTTTCTACACGAAACTTAACTAATACCATTGCACATTTAGCCCAGCGCTAATAACTTAAATTGTCATTGGCACAGACTATATGAAAACAGATAGCTCACACGACATGTAAACAAAAACCATGACTCGAAATGAAATCAGTGTGACCGCAGATTCAAGCATAAAATTTCATATTAATATCACAGATAAGATAGAAATTATTGATCTAATCTGTGATAATGTGGTCCGTTATCAATGATCGATAAGGAGTTGGTACAATAATTCTATTGTAGAACATCTGCACAATAATTTATAATAATTCTTGCGGCTACAGGACCCAAATCGGTCTTTTTAAAAATGTCCTTTGTTTTCGGTCTAGTGAGCCATCTGTTTTCATACAGTCTGTGTTATAAGCTTTTTATATAAACATGTCGAGTAAGAATAAGCACAAACTAAACTCGGTTTGATATCGCCGTTGGGCTAAGCTCAATTATTAGTCACAACCCTAGACCCGCTAGCATTAGCAGCCCTATTTCTCAAGGGGGTCTAATCTGATATTACATTATACAATGGGGCCAAAGAGCTTTGGGTTACTCCAATAAATTTAAGTGTTAAATTTTGAACACGTTAAAAAAAACCCCGGGGAAACCTATAGTACCCCATTATCAAAGCCTAATTATAATTGTATGCTTGAGATGTTTTTTTTTACTTTTGCCTTTTTGTGTTGGAATTTGGGCGAAATGTAAATTAATTAATTGCAAGAAGAATTATCGTTATATAGTTATAATTATTACTTAAGTAGTGTGTTAAAGAGATGCGACGAGTAAAAAAAAAAAAACGAGAAGACGGCGACTAATTAATCAACGATGACAACGAAAAATGACGTGACTTCTCTTCTGCGACGGTGACGACTGTCCGTGTCCGTGGAAAATTTATGTCTTCCCGTGATTAATATCTGTGGAAGGTGCCAGATAAGCTTAAAAACAAAATAATCGTCTGAATTAATAAGTTTTTTTTCTGTTCAATTATTAAAAAAAAAAAATCTCTGTTATCCCAAACATTTCGTCGAGCTAAACGGTTGGTATAGGTATAGCTTTAGGCTAGATCGAAGGATCCTGCTCATTTCGACCGAAATTTAACCCTCAGTAAGTACTCGTATAAGTACAGTCGAATCACCATAAAAAAAACCCTGTTCGCCTTGTCAGAAACACACAAGGTAGAACTATGATTAAAAATATCATTGAATGTGTAACACGCCCGCAGTTTACATATTGTAGAAACTAAACCCTCTTGTAAGATGTATGAATTAGTTTCCAACCTGAACATGTACACGTTACTGTTGACAATGTGGCCGTGCAATAAAGAATGAAGACTTATATAATTAATTAATGAACATTTGGGTTTAACCGAACGGACGTTCGGTGTTAACATTTATAATTTATATCCATTTATGTTACGAGGCGGTACTCCTGAGCGGGTTTTAAATATTTGTTCTCCATCATTATTCATTTGAAAACATGGGAGAAATGAATATAAATTGAAATTTACTTTATGTGAGTTCCTTGGGTAACTCGGATAAGTGTCGGCAGCTCCCGAAATAAAGCTGGGCAATCGTTATGTGCACCAGGCACCTTAAGAACCATAAAATAGGTTATTTTCAAAATCATTAAGAGGACTTTATACACTAAGTATGCCGGTTTTTGTAATGGAGCAAGACACCTATGCCATTTTGTAGGGAATGGCATGTCCTTTTTTTTTAAATATGCCTTTAATAAAGAGTTATTACTATTTAAAAAAAAGGAAAAAATGCTTCTTTCCAACATTTAATATTGAGCTAAGTACTTAACATTTTGAAAAATAGATAAGACGCATTCTCTCCAAAATGTCATCATCATTCAATTGCCTAAGAAGGTGTTTTGCTAAAATCACCATGGACAAAGTTAAACGCATTCTACGAGGCTACGTTTAGATGAAAAAAAATATTGAAACTTGCTGTCAAGGGTACTGTTATATAGTCAAACAAAAAAGTTGACTACTAAAAATGAGTAATAATTACACTTTACAGTTTAAGCTTTGAATTAAGATTTTACAAAAAATTGTCTATGCCAAACTCCTCAATAAATAAGGAATCCTCTTAAGTTTAAGGTTAAGATAAGCATCGATATTATTGTCACAAGTCACAGCTGTTGTTAATATGTTAAATTCTAGTGCGTGCAATTGTATACTTGTATATGAATAAATGTACTACCGTGTAAACTTAATTTCTAAACGTGACGATTCAACACTAGAATAATTAAATTCTATATATTTTGGGTAGTTAAAAAAAATATTGGTAATTGTTTTAAACACTTTTAGTTGTTCCATAATAAGATAAGTGTTTATTGTAGGTATATTGTATCGATGAATAATATTTCAAATGTTGTGAGTTAAAACTAAAGCGAACACCGAGTACAGAAAACTAAACGTATTTTGTTTTCTATCAATATTTCTTAAACGATGGGCTTCTTTCTGTCAGGTTTACAACAATATTTCATTGATACAAGAGTACTTATTTGCAGACAATGTTGTCGTGGTCTACTTCAATGTTCACGAACACTCGGCTTTGTCAAGGCAACTTGACACTTGATCGTGATACTCGATAACGCCTTTGAAATATTATCATTTTCCTTTAGGTTTTTAAAAACAAATTGGACTTGTAAACAATTACAAACTTAGTCGTTTTCATTCTCCTTATTTACACGGAAAAAATGTATAGTTGATCAACTAACGAATCATGGCTACTAATTTAGAGAGACAATACATATTCATATTTTCGGTGTTATCGCCAAATAACTATTGACTTGATTAGTGACATCATGGATTTCATGGATTTGGTATATTTTTATTTTCCATTTGTTTTCGAAAATATCTATAAGAGTTAAGTTCGGCAGTATTTATTGACGTTTTGTCCTGAAAGCAAGATCCGTTTCCGGAAATTTAGATTGTAACCTCTTCACAACGAAGCGGTCGTTCTCTACAGATGTATACATATAGAATATGTATTCAATTCAATTGTACACATTTCCATTGGACGAATTTCGCTTTTCGTCATTAAGTCCGTTTGTCGTCGATGCGGAATGATCGAATACGGATAATACAACGGTCTTTCCGTTAATGCCGTTTGAAAGTTTCAAGAGTTCCAAACTAAACGAATAGCAGATAACACACTGGTGAAAATGTCGCTTTCGAATGGGTTCGACGGTATTTCTGTTCATTCCGTTTTCGAAGCCGTGTAAATCGTTTTTAGCTCAAACAGTTCTGCACATTTACAATAACATTTCCTGGAAGATCCTTTCGCAGGGAACAAGTTTTCAAAAAGCGGATATGTTAGCTCTTATCACGCATCTCTTATCATTTATCTCTTATCACTTATATCTAATCTCTTATCTCTTACTGAAAGTGTAACGCGTAAATGGCGACATGCAGTTTCTTGTATCCCGCCCAGTAACATACTCATGTTAAAACTCTGAAAGTCCTTTAGAATTTTGGTCTGCCGACATTATTTGTAGAGTCTGAACGAGCACAGAAGCATTTGAAGGGTCCTGGCCTCCTCCTCTTGTGGCACCAATGTTTGTGTGGGACCTGGCTGTGGGACCTGTGTAAAAATGAAACCTATAATGCATATTACAAGTGTTATCCAACATAATTGCACATACATAATTGTATAATCGCATCCCGATTAAAATATGTGCAACTCGCACACGATAAAAGTAAATCCTGTCTGGTAGTAGATTCTAGTTTTTGGTATCCATTTTATTGCGCCATAGAAAATATAATATAATATTATGACTTCTGCTGATATATGTATATATGTATAACATGTATACAGCACAGCTGTACTTTGCAAACGAGGATAATGAGGTTTACTCTAAAACGACGTCACCGCCGCCGTTGGAAATTCGTCAAAGCGAGAATTCGTGACCAGAATAATGTCGTTATTTTAATGTGTATATATAGATAGCGTGTATATAATCAAGCTTAGGCGGTCTAACTCCGATGTTCCGGAAAGAAATCTGGCGCAGCCCACAACGGTGTAATTTTATTTCTAAATCACTTCTACAGCGGTAAGTATAATACTAGCAGTTACATGGCAAAAGCCGTTAAACTGACGTTTTGCCTCGCAA